CCCAAAGAGTAAACTTCTTCCCCCCCCCCCCCCCCATGCCTTTGATTGACATTGATAATGTTTGCCATAGGCACCATTATCTGTACTGGCAAAGCAAGCCCCATCAGACAACAATTGCATCCTCCCATGTGAAGTGTCAGGCAGGTGCACAGATTTGGTGAATTGCATTATTTCCATGCTTATATTGGAGGAGCATGAAGGCTGTAGCTGGGCATTCACTGGGCCCTGGGCCTTGGTTGCCTTGTGGATGATTCAGCCCTTCTGGGCCCTACATTTTTATGCCAGCTTATTTAAAAATCTGACTGAGCTGAGTTAAATGAGGCAGCACAGTGTTAGTGTGTATGGATCTGTTATGGGGCCATTCTCTATGCTGGAGATTTTCACTTGATTAGCCAACACAGGGACATTTGAAGCTTTTACAATCAATAACAAACAAACTGTTTTCACTTGTGTTTTAGTCGGTGAAACATACTGTAACTTATAAAAATGTTCAGTAGTCTATTATCATAACCTGTATAGGAATGCAGCTTGTAGAGTCAGGGTTGGGCACTGGTGTGGTTGGAAGGCTGGGCACTCCCTGCTGGCTGACGAACCTCCTTTTGTCTGGATATTTGAATGGTTCTGTGATATGTGCATAATGTCTCTCAGAAGTGGTGGCTGCTTTCATTTTTTGTTTTTACTTATGGGATAAGATAATTAATAGATGCTGCTTGTATGTTAATCTCCTTCCTGTTGTAGTAGGCTGAGATTATCTTACACAATGGTGACGGAAACACTAGTCGTCATTCACATTAGTAGGCCATAGCTCTGTTACATTGGCCCTCTCAGCAAATATCACACTAAATTTATGTCGGCTTTGTCATATCACATTATGTGTTGAAGTAAAAAGGTCTCTTTTTCTTGCCTCTAATCTCCATCTACTTACAGCTGTATAGTCTCTGAGTACCACGTGCTTTGTGGATGTTTGACATCATTTGAGACTGTAGATTGTCTGTTATTTTTAATCAGTTTTGTTGTTTGCAACAATTTTTATTTCTAGCTTTAGTGCTCTTCTACCTGTTGAGTAAAACTACTCCTAATTGTATGACAATGCTCATACATTAAAAGCTTATTTTCTCAAGTGTGCTCTCTGACACAGCCACAGACTCTACATTTAGCCATAAGCCATGTAGAACCATGGCTGGTCATTCAAGTAAAATCCTGGTTTGGGAGCACTGGTTTATAGGAAAGGGTGGGCTTGGTCTCTCAAAGACCTATAAGCAGTATAAGGAAAATTATCTAGCTGCTGCTTCTAAGGTGAACCTCTTTGTTAGCACAAAGACAGTTTCTTGACATTTAAGATTAGAATGTCACAGTTAAAATCATGAATGTATGAATCCATATTGTTATGGACAGCCGCTCACTTCTGCTTGCTTTTGGCAAAGATCTATTGTCCTTCCATGTTTAATGCATCAAGCATATTGTGTACATCCCATAGCACCAGATTGTCTTAGCAGACAAATCAAAGGCATTGAACGGCTGTAAGACACGATGAAGAAATTCCGGGATTGTTTTTCTGTCATTTGTTTGTAAGTGAAATACCGCAATTCCAGTAAACACAGACTTTAAAGCATTTCAAATGGCTAAAAATAATCCGCAATGATGGGAATTTTGCCTCATTATTTGTGTAAGATGATATCTCCAGAAAGATGTCATACAGTAAACTAAACTAAAAATGTCAATAAACGCTTATCATTTTCCTCTTGTTTTTCACTTCTTCATATAATGCCTTAATATGGTCTTTGTTAGCAGATTACGACTGGGTAATTCAGAAAAAACATTCTCAGATGTATACATACGCTACTTTAATGGGTTATCTGAATATCAGGAAATATAGTCAGCATCTCTGCTGTACAAAGTCATTTTGCAAGTTAGTACTCAGTCGTAAAGAACAGACCTCCTATGAGGAGACATGTTTGCTAAATGCACTGACAGGTAAAAGATCCTTAATTTTAATCTAACCATCCTTTAACCTAATGTGAAGAAAAGACCTGTGAAATACCGGTTGACAGCTCTTTAATCTTTGTGCCCCCCTGAATCCAGAACAGAGCCATAGTGGGGATCCCTACACAGTAAGACCAATCGGTGGTTCACAACACAGATGTGACTCCCCACCAACTCCATGGCTCTGTTTAGATAGGTGGAGATATGCCAAAGCTGCTAATAAGTATTTATTTTATCAGATTAAGTTTTAGTTGGGGGGCAGGTGACCTTTTTAACACTTGAAGATGACTGAAGATCCTTGTTAGCACTTGAAGATCCTTGTTAGCAGTCCTCAAGTTCACTTCAACACTTTGGCAATTTCCTTTTGCAGCGAGATATAGTTACCTCTTTACCAACCATATAATAGTTCAGCTTTCATCCTATTAGAGTAGAGCAGCAAAGGTTGCTTTTGGACACTGCCCATTGCTTGTTACATAGTCCATTATACGTAAACCTGACATTGTATCTGTTTTTATTCTTCAGGGACTCGGTAAGAAGAGTGGGGTCTCGTCCAGTACTCTTCAGGCCTTGTGGATTGGATACAGCACGGATGGTTTGTCTGCCGCCCTTGCTTCTCTTAGGAATTTGTACACCCCGAATGTAAAGGTAATAGTGTTACGAGCAATCTGCTGCATGGGCACTTTGTATAGACAGTAATAGAAAAATGCCCTGAGTGATTTTTCTACTCCAGTGGTTGATAAAAAGCTACAAAGCTCTGAAGCTCGAATGTGGGAACAGCTTGTGCAATTTGGATCGCATTCAACCAGTGACACAGCACACAATACTGTGGTACTGTGGTTAAGCCATGACATCGGCAAGACATGTGACCTGTGTCAGCTCAGAGAGCACGATCAAGCTTTTCATGGCTAGAACAATGTAAAGGTTGTCTGTACTCTCCTAATGCAACCAACTGTGTCAGAGAAGAAACAATAGGACATAAAAAAAAAGTCTGGAGTGATATACTATATGTAATGGTATGCTGCAAAAGCATTAGTGTGCAGCAACCCATAGAAGCCGCCAGTCACTGATCAGCTTTCATTAGCCTGACTATTCTAAGCTATTAAAACACTTTTGTTGGAAACTCTGAGGACTGGAAAGTCAGAAGTAATATAAGGCATTATAATT